GGATTCCCTAATGTCTTTTAAGAGTGACTTTATATGAAGGGATCATAAAGAATGGTGGTTTTAAAACAAAATAAAAATTGCACGCAAAATAAATGTAAAAAAAAAACCTACGAAGGTCGTTTGTGTATTCGAAGAAAGATTATGCCGAATTAAGGTGTCGAATAGAGATAAAATCATTTTATTTATTTATTTACATATTTAAGCATTTCACTCCAAGCAAGACGGGGGTACCACTAGCATCTCGAGGATTGAGAACAAATGTAAAGAGGCGTGTTTGAAGAAAGGATAAAGAGAAGAACGGGAACAAGATCAAGGCATCAGAAGATGTCGATTGACATTACATATGAATATTTGAAGATTATAGCTATCAGGGAAGCAAGTAAGAGGAAGAGAGTTCCACAGACGGGAATTGAGAAATAAGAAGCTGTTGGAGTAGAAGAGACAGCTACATTTAACCGTTTCGACAGTGAAAACATGGGACCTAGATGCTAACCTAGTAGCACGCTTAAATTCATGCAGTTTGGGAACCAGCGAAAGTAGCTCGTCGGTGCAGTGGCCGTCAAAATACCTGTAGAAAAGACAGAGGGAAGCCACTGTGAGAAAGTGACTGTAGGCGAGATGCCAGATTAAGACCCATCATATTGCATATCCGTCTCTGGATTTAGTCGAAGTCCTCGAGATGGACAGCGGGGGCACCAGACCATATATGGCAGTAGTATACAATGCAAGGACGAATGGTTGATTTGAAGAATGGACTCAGGCGAAAAAAAAAAACTTTCTGGCGCGACACAGAGAAACATTCTTATAACTTTTACGCACATGAATCATTGAAGGTAAACGGCTGAAGGCTCAAAAGCCTTCCGCAGGAACTAGCCTAAAGTCTGCCCGAAACACGTCTTCTCGGCTGGTTTGATAATAATTATAGTTTTAACAATACCTAGGAATCAAAAATTATACGGCATTTTAAAAATTATACGGCATTTTAAAAATTATACGGCCTTTTAAAAGAGCTAAAAATGAACAACCGGTTTCGTCCTAGCCTTATCAAGTTTATTTTCTGGGATATAAAAATATATATAAGCGTGTAAATTAAATTAATATAACGAATGGAAGGAAAAGAAAAAAAAAAGAATTTCAAAGAAAACTAGAATCCAATAACATTCAGACCCAGTAAGCATTCCCTTTGTTTACAAAGGGAATGCCCACGGGATCTGATATACAACCACTCTAGAACCTTGAGGTGATATGAGGAGTGGGACCTAGAGAAAATCGAAAAACGGTCCGCACTAAAATCAAACACACAATT